CCCAGCTGCCTGGCTGGGTGACTGACCACTATTGTGATGTCTTCATGAGGCCAGAGACTGCCTTGGCCCAGCTTCCTGTGGAAGGGGCGGGGGCCACCCACAGGCTCAGTCTCCCCTGCCTCCCAGGCTGGGAGGACTCCTGAGGCCAGGGGACTGACCGGGAGCCGGGGGCGGGAGTCCTCCCACACCTAGCTCTTCTCCGAGGGACCCGTGACCAGGACGTCCCCGTCCTCTGGTTTAGAAACTTCTTTAGGCATGGGAACACGTGTGCACGTGGGGTTCACCTCACCAGGCCACCTGACTCTTGTGCTGTCCAGCTCTGGGGACTTGGGTGACACTTGTCTGCACCTCCAGCCCTCACCTCCTCTGCTGTAAAATAAGAGCAACCCCACAGGGCCCTTGAGAGACAGCCACACCACCTGGATGCCCTCAGTGGACGGTCATCTTAAAACGAGAGCAGAGCAGAACTGGGTATGGTGGGGCAGGCTGCAATTGCAGCCACTTGGGAGGCTGAGGCAGGAGGGTCTCAGGTTCAAGACCAGCCTCAGAAACTTAGCAAGGCCTTAAGCCACTTAGTGAGACCCCGTCTCAAAATGAAACATAAAAAGGGATGGGGATGTGGCTCAGTGGTCGAACACCCCTGGGTTCCGTCCTCCTACCAAAAATCAATCCATCCATCCATCCATCAAATGTAAGAAAGTAAAAGAAGGCTAGCTGGTGGGGACCTGAGGAGCTCCCGTGACAGTGGCTGTTCTCAATGCCAAAGGCAGCTGAGCTGCACACAGGGTCTCGGCTGCCTGGGAGCCAGGACCATGGGGTCCCACCAGGGACTGCAGGACTTGTCCTGTGCCAGGGCACATGGGGATGACCAAGGAGAGCTCAGCCTGGGTGGACAGAACCAACGGTCATGCCAAGTCCCAGGACCCAGCCTCCTCGTGCCTCTGACAAGGCTGGACCTGGCCACACCTGGCAGTCACAGAGGAGGGACCCTGGCCTGGCAGCGCTCTTTCCAGAAACCCATCCCCAGAGTGAAGTAGCCATTGGTGAGCAGGCACCGCGCTGTTCAGGGCAGTAGCTGGGAGAGCGCCCTGTGGCTCTGTCTGGAAGTCACCCAGGTTCCTCGATGTGGCTACTCCTCAGCTGCCAAATGAGCAAGAGAGAGATGGGAACGGGGCAGGATGTGTCAGGACAGGAGGGGAGAGGAGGAGAGGAAGAGGAGCTCGGGGAGGAGTGTCAGAGAAACACAAACAGAAGCCGGCAGGGCACACACCTCTAATCCCAGCGGCTCAGGAGGCCGAGGCAGGAGGATCCTGAGTTCAAAGCCAGCCTCAGCAGCTTAGCAAGGCCCTAAGCAACTCAGTGAGACCCTGTCTCTAAATAAAATACAAAATAGGGCTGGGGATGTGGCTCAGTGGTTGAGTGCCCCTGAGTTCAAGCCCCAGTACCAAACACACCCACACCCACATGCACACACACAAAGAGTTGAGTAGAGCCGCGCCAGGCACAGTAGTGCACACCTTTAATCCCAGTGCCTTGGCAGGTTGCGTCAGGAGGATTGTGAGTTCGAAGCCAGCCTCAGCAACTTAGTGAGACCCTGTTTCAAAATATATTTATATATATTACTCAGCAATAAAAGAGAATAAAATCATGGCATTTGCAGGTAAATGGATGGAGTTGGAGAAGATAATGGTAACAGAAGTTAGCCAATCCCCAAAACCCAAATGGTGAATTTTTGGTCTGATATAGGGAGGCTGACTCATAGTGGGGTTGAGAGGGGGAGCTTGGGAGGAATAGATGAACTCTAGATTGGGCAAAGGCGTGGGAGGGGAAGAGAGGGGCTTGGGGGTAAAAAAGATGGTGGAATGAGATGGACATCATGACCCTAAGTAGCTGTATGAAGAGACAAACCGTGTGACTCTACTTTGTATATTTCCAGAGATATAAAAAATTGTGCTCTATATGTGTAATATGAAGTGTCATGCATTTTGCTGTCATACATAACGAGTTAGAATAAAAATAAATAAATAAGGACTGGGGATGTAGCTCAGTGGTAGGCACCACCCCCCTTTGGTTCAACCTGCAGTTCAGCAAGATAATAATAATAATAATTATTATTATTATTATTTAAATGTGGACAAAGTACCTGAACAGACACTTTGCCTAAAATATATGTGACTTGCCAATAGGGACATGGTGAGAAGATCGGCATCCCTCGTCATCTAAGAAATACAAATTAAACATCTGGGTACCCTGCTGGGTGTGGGGCCATGTGTCTGTCATCCCAGTGACACTGGGGGCTGCGGCAGGAGGACTGCACATTTGAAGCCAGCCTGGGAAACTTAGCGACTCTGTTTCAAAGTTAAAATTAAAAAGGGCTGAAGACACAGCTCAGTGGAGAGTGTCCCTGGGTTTAGTCCAGGACCCAAAGAAAAGCAGGAGAGAAAAGGGCAGAAAAGAAAACCCAGGCTCCGCTGGAAGCTGACCTAGCTAAGAGAGCAGAGTCCCGGGGGCACGAGTGAAGGCCAGCGGAGCCCGCGGTGCTGCTCTGGTGCGTGCCAAAGGCATGTCGCTTTGCAAAATGGTCTCTCTTCAAGTTCAGCCCGCGTCCACCTATGACCGAGCGACGAGAGCACGTGCCCACCAGAGACCCGTCTGAGGCTGTTCGTAGCAGCCAAGGGCAAAGTGGCCACGATTCAGAAACAGACCCAACCCAGGGCTTTGAAGACCCCAGCATAAAGGAAAGAACTCGGAGGACTCGACCCAGAGATGTTGGACATTTTATCATCCTGTGCTCCTACATTGTTGATGGGTTGTGCCAGGGAGGCCACCCGGGCCCTGCCAGCAGGGGGAGTCCATGAGACAGGCTGCACACGGGCACCCCCCCAGATGGTCCATGTTCTTTCACTTTACAACCAAGGTCCCTGGGCTTTGATCCACTCTGGAGAGAAGGGAAGTGGCCAGCTGCCTGCTCTGCTCCTTATCACATTCTTTAGAGTCCTGCTTATCTGGGAGCTTCCCTGGGCACCCTCAACAATGGGTGAGGGGTGAAGGAATCGCAGGTGTTTATACCCTGGAACATGGCTCAGCAGTTAAAGGGACAGGCCGCTGACATACTGCACAAGATGCACACACCTCAAAACCCATGTGAGCAGAAGAACCCTGCCCAAGAGGAGCCTATACTCTACGATCCCGTTTACTTCAAGTTCTGCAACAGGCCAAGCTAAGCCACGGTGCTAGAAATCAGAAGAGTGGGTGCCTGTGTGTGTGTGTGTGTGTGTGTGTGTGTATACAGGGAAGTGCAGGGTTGACTGCAAAGAGAGAGAGAATTCTCGAGAATGAAGGAAGTATTCTTTTATATTTATTTTATTCTTGGGTACCAGGGTTGAAGCCAGGGGTGCTTAGCCGCTGAGTCACATCCCCAGCCCTTTTTTACCTTTTTAGACAGGGTCTCACTAAGTTGCTTAGGGCCTCACTTCATGGCTCAGGCTGGACTCAAATTTGCGACTCTCCTGCCTCGGCCTCTCGAGCTGTTTTTTTCAAATTCTTTTTTAAGATAAAGGAAATGGCCAGTTGAGATGGCACACACCTGTAATCCCAGCAGCTCAGGAGAGTAAGGCAGGAGGACCACGAGTTCAAAGCCAGCCTCAGCAATTTAGTGTGTGTGCGGGGGCGGTCCTAGGCAACTCAGCGAGACCCTGACTTTTAATAAAATATTATGAGGGGCTGGGGATGTGGCTCAGTGGTAAAGAGCCCGTGGGTTCAATTCCTGGTACCAAATAAATAAATAATAAAATAAAACCAGGAAGTATTCCATCATGATTACATAGGTATATTCATTTCTGAAAACTCATCAGACTTGCCCACATGAATGATGAGAGTTTTAAAAGACTGACACCATGAAATTCTGACAGGGATGGTCAAGACCCCCAAACTCCCAGCATACATTGTTGGTGGGATTATGCAAAGGTTTCAAAGGTTCTTATAAAAGGAAACAGACATTGGGCTGTTGGTAGAGTGCTTGCCTCACATGCACAAGGCCCTGGGTTCAATCCCCAGCAACCCCCCCCCCAAAAAAAAGAAAAGAAACAGACATCTACCCATGCTGCACAGCCTCTGCTTCTAGGTCCTAGGTGTGCCAGAGAAGTGGCACATCCACGCCCCCCCCCCAAAAAAAAAGGTAGATGAACAGCCCCAAACTGGAATCATCATCGCTGGGGTCTGTAAACAAGAGGATGGATAAGGGTACCTCAGGCATTTGGGTTAATATGTAAGAATAAAAAGAGGGGCTGGGGATGTAGCTCAGTTGGTAGAGTGCTGGCTTTGCACGCACAGGGCCCTGGGTTTAACCCCCAGCACCACTAAATAAATAAATAAAATTTAAATAAATAAATAAAAATTCTAAGAGCAACGGCCTGGATAAGTCAAGGACACATTATTCTGAGTGAAGGAAGCTTCACCCCGTCCAGGAGTGCACCCCATCAGTGAAAATTCATGTGCATGGTGGAACAAATCGGAACTCCCTGCCAGAAGTGGGGGCTAGGAAGGGTGGAGGGGCTCTCTGAGGGTGACGGTGATGGAGTCACAAAGGCATCTGCTCTGTCCAAATTCTGGGAATGGTGTGATACAAGATTCAGGCATTTCATTGTGTATGCACATCTTATCTGAAAGACACCTGTCAATACATACTGAACTCTAATGATATGCAAACCGAGTGTTTAAGAATAAAGCTCACAGGCGTGGACAATTTCTTTTTTACTTTTTAACTGTGTTTGGCACTGGGGGTTGAACCCAGGAGCACTTTATCACTAAGCTACTTCCCCAGTCCTTTTTATTTACTTATTTTTATTGGGGGAAAGGGCCTTGCTAAATTGCAGAGGGTCTCAGTTGCTGAGGCTGGCCTCAATTTTGGGATCCTCCTACATCAGCCTCCCAGGTTGCTGGGATTACAGGTGTGCACCATAAACCTTGTGTCAACTTACTTTCAAATTGGTCAACAAGAAAGATGGGGAATAGCTTCTGAGATGGGCAAGTGTGTGCAAAAGCAAATATAGTTGGTGCTCTGTATCAGATTACGGGGATCAGCAAACCTTGGATGGACATATTATAAAAAAAAAATAGGGTCTGCACTGCATGTGTTCAGACTTTTTTCTGTGATTACTCCTTAAATCATAGAGTGTAACAATTACCTACATAGCGTTTATAGTATGTATAGTGCATAGTTATTATAAATAATCTAGGGCACAGGGATGTAGTTCAGTGGTAAAGTGTTTGCCTAGCATGTGTGAGGGCCTGGGTTCAGTCCCTAGTAACACACACACACACACACACACACACACACACACACACACGTGATCTTGAGATGATGTAAAGCTGGAGGGGCAGGTGTGGGAGCACATCCTTAAGTGACTCAGGAGGCTGAGGCAGGAGAATCGTAAGTTCAAGGACAAGCTTAGCAACTTAGTGAGCCCTAAGCCACTTAGGGAGACCCTGTCTCAAAGTTCAAAACAGAAAAAGCTAGGAATGTGGCTCAGTGGGTTGAGCTCCCCTGGGTTCCATCCTTGGTACCAGTAAATAAATAAACAAAACTTGGGGGAACTGCCTAGGTTATATGCAAATGTGCCATCTTCCATAAGGGACTTGAGCATCCTCAGATGCTTTTTGGTGTCCTGGGGGAATCCTGGGAGCTAGTCCCCTTGGATATAGGGGACAACCCTATGAACACTGACCAAGGCAGAATTATTTGAACTTTTCTGTACTTTTGTATATTTTTACAATAAAATTGGGAGGGGACTAAGAAGAATTAAAAGAAAAAAAAGCAGTTCTAAAAATGGAAACAAATAACAGGAATTGAACCTAACAATGTAACCATTTGACCAAAATCCACACAGAGAAGACTTATTTAAATAATGCTGTAACAGCATCGTCATATTCGTGGGAAAAACTGTATTTGATCAACACAATCTCCTCCCATCCGCAGGGTCACGCCCCAGTTTTGATTCTATGACCAAGGTTGCCTGGGTCACAGGCTGGGTCACTGGCTCGGGCTAGGCCACCAGACTGGGGCAGGGACCACTTGCCTGGGAGGGACTGGTCAACACAGGTACAAATGAGCAGATGGACCAAGGAGTGGATGAGCTGCAAGCTCTGTCCACTACGGCCCGCCCCATTGACCTGAAATGACGTGGACATCACGCTCAGCGCCTGGGGTTCTTGCAGACTTCAGGTTGCACATCTTAGGAGCGAGTTGGGGACTGCTTTCTCCACGAGGGATTCTGAAAGGGACAGCCCCATCCCCACTTGGACAGAGGTCTGGGGTTCCGCAGCCAAATCTGAGCGGGAGAAGTCCAGTGGGAACCAGTCAGGAGCCATCGGGAATGCACTCCGCCTCCGCCTATCCCAGACCCGGCCACCAGAGGACAGCACCAGGCTGCCGTGTCTCGGTCTCTCTTCCACCTTCTGGGCTTGGCTGGGTCCCTCAGTCTGGCCTCTGTGCTGGGGACCCATTTTCCCATCTGCCACCGCCATGTCTGGCTGAAAGGATTGAGGTGGCACGAGACAAACCATGACACCAGCCCAAAGTTATACGGCCTCGGGGCCAGCAGGGCACTCTTGCCCTGGGTTGGGGAGGCCGGTGGACTTGGGGTCCCCAGTAGGTCTCCTCCTGAGGATCAGCTGTCTTTGCAGGTCAGGAGTCCGGGAGGTTTTTTTTTTAACCTCTGCTCCTCCAAAATGAGGCTTAACAGGTTAGGCCTTGTTCTCCAGTCCCCTGTGCTACAAGAGTGTCACGGGGTTTTCACTGCCTGGTGGATAAAATGTAGCCCTTCTGCTGGGGGGAGCTGGTTACAGCCCCGCCACTCCAGCAGGGTAGCCCCAGGCAGGCATCGGCACCTCCCTGAGCCTCAGTTTTCTCCTCTGAAAATGGGTCTTCAGTGCCAGCACCTGCTGTTCCTGTCATCTGCAATGCTGTCCCCTCAAATATCTGGCAGCTCATTTTCACTGCGGAGCTTTAAGCTCACTCACCGCTTCTTCGTGGGGGGCAGCCCTGGCCCCTTGCCAAGAGGAGATGGCTCCTCTATCTTATGCCTGGTTCAAGTGGTATTTGTTTTTCACAGTGCTGGAGTTTGAACCCAGGGCCAGACACACACTAGGCAAACACGACCCAGCCCCCAGCCCTGGTTAGACGACGGCGACAGTTCCCTGTCTGGAGTTCACGGCACACATTCATTTGGTTTCTTTCTTTTCTGGGGGGAGGGGGGGATAGGCAGAGGTACCAGGGATTGAACTCAGGGACATTGAACCACCGAGCCCCATCCCAGCCCTATTTTGTATTTTATTTAGAGACAGGGTCTCCCTGAGTTGCTCAGCGCCTTGTCATTGCTGAGGCTGGCCTTGAACTCACGATCCTCCTGCCTCAGCCTCCTGAACCGCTGGGATGACAGGTGTGCACTCAGCACCAGGCTCCAGCTTAGTTAGCTTCTGATCATTGCTGTTCCTAAAGTGTCCCCTCTGGGAAGGTGGGGTCTCAGTTTTACTCACAGCCGTCTCCCAGGTACTTGGCACAGTGCCTGGCACAAAGCAGGCGCTCACTCAAAATGCCAAGCCAACGGTCCCTGGGAGGGCTCAGTGCCTGGCACACACAGGCTTGCAGGGAGCTAGCGATTACTAATAGCAAAGCCAAGGATGATACCTCACCAGGGTCACGAAGGCCAGGAGGGGAGCAGGCCATCTCAGGAATGGAGTGAGCTTGGAGGGTTGACAGCCAGGGCTCCGGGGAGGCCCACCTGGTCCCTCTCCTGCTGTGCCATTCTGGACACCCTACTCACCCTCTCTGGGCTAGGCTCTCTTTTCGAGCATAAGACTCTGCAGCTGTTTAAGGCGAAAAGTAGACGCGGATATTTTTTTCCTTCCTGCCCAGCAGTGAGATGATAAGGAAAGAGGAATCCAGAGGAATGAGCTGTGACTATTGCACAATGCAAGGGGCAGGGCTGGAGAGAGGCAGTGGGAGGAGCCCCCCTTTCCTGCCTAGAGGTAGGGTGTGCTGCCCCCAGAGCTTCCCTCCTCTGCTCCTGCTTTGGAGTGGAGGATGGGGCTGCCTGAGTGGGGGGCGGAGACTGGGGGAGGAAGACCTGGGGGAGCAGAGACCTGGGAGAGCAGAGGCCTGGGGGAGGAGAGACCTGGGGGAGGAGAGACCTGGGGGAGCAGAGACCAGGAGGAGCAGAGACCTGGGAGGGAGAGACCTGGGGGAAGAGAGACCAGGGGAGGAGAGGTGCTGGCGCAGGGATCTGGTGCCTGGCTGTAGCCCTGCCTCTGGGGGAGTGAGCCTTATCCTAAATGGCCGGTGAGGTGGCGCTTTGGTGCGTCCCTTGGGCCCAGGTTCACCTCCTGGTACGACCAGTTATTGCCTTTACCTTATGAGACTCGGAGTGAGTCGATCTGATCCTCGCTTCCCCATCTGCAGAAGGGGACAGTAGCTCTGCAGAATTGCGGTTGAGGCTTTCAGGAGTAAGACGCGCCCGGCTCGCAGCGTGACTGTGTGTGCAAGTTGCCCACAGGGCAGGGGCCCCAGAACCTGGTAGCTGTGGATGTCCCCAGAGCCAAGCTAAAATGTGAGCAACAGTGTTGCCAAAGCAAACCTGCGAGGGTCCCGGGCGGCATGAGGCGTTCTGCACTGGATACGTGCGTTTCCCCCGCACCACTACCTTATTGTGGTGGCTCCTGACGCTGCCCCATTTTACAGATGAAAAACTGAGGTGCAAAGAGGGGACATGCCCCGTGGAAGGTACATCGGGACAGAGTATGGCTCCTCAATCTGCCACCTACCTGTCCCAGGAGCCTGTGTTCCTGGCCACACGGCTGGACACTCCCCTCCGCACCCCACTCATCAAACGAGTCCCAGGAGATGATGTCAAGTGGCTTCTCAAAATGATCAAAGAGTCAGAAACAGGAAACGCTGCAAAATGTGCCACAGGGTGAAAACCCCAGGGCTGGCCCCCCACAACCTGAAAAAATGGTCAGATCTGGGCTAATTCCCATCACCTCCCGCCCACTGTGGGGGTGGTGTCTTCAGCTGTTCTCTGCCAGAAACGCAAAGAGATCCAGATGCGCTTTCTCTGAGGCACATTTGGCAATGGGTCCTTCACTATCCCAGATCGGAATCCACCGAAACACACGACCTCAGACACCCATCTAAAGAATCCAGTGCAGCTGGGCACGGTGGCCCGGGCTTCTAATCTCAGCGACGCCGGAGGCTGAGACAGGAGGATCGCAAGCCCCAGGCCAACCTGGGCAGTAAGAAGGGCTGGGAGTGTAGCTCAGTGGTGGAGCACCCCTGGCTTCAATCCCCAGTAACGAAAAACAACCACAATGCAATGCCCCAATTGTAACACAAAGTAAAAATGGAACAGCAAAGATCTGGGGAAGTGAAATCCGTATGCATTCTGTCGTCCCAAAGTGTGATCAGTGCCACTCCCCTTCTTACCACCCCCCCCCCCCCAGGAGGAATGGGAAGGCATTAAACAAAGACCTGCAGTGGGTGGGTGGCTCAGGGCAGCCCAAACCAGGCCCAGCAGAGCTGCTGTCCCAATGGGATCCCACGCAGCAGGAAGAAGGGATAAACTATCCATCCTGGGTGAGTCACAAAATGATTGTGCTGAGAGAAGACGCATCGGGAAGGCAGGGAAGGAGTCCCTTTAGAGCAAACTCATCCGCAGTGGCAGAGAGCAGATGTGTGTGGGGTGGGGGCACAAGGTAGGGGTCACCAAGGACCCTTGTGGGGCACTGTCCTGTAGCCCTGTGTTTGCAGGACTGTACGGAAGCACTGAACCATAACAGACTGTCCAGGGCAAAGACGAGCGTTGGACCTCAGGCTGCTACCAAAACAGGAGGGTTTTAAGGCAGGGACTCTGTATGACACCTTGATGTGTCATCGTGCCTTGGTCCAAATCCACAGAACAGCAACACCATGGGGGGCCCCCTGATGTGAACTTGGACTTTGAGTGATTTTAAGTTTCACCACTTGAAATCCATGTCCCAGGTTGGTGCAGGGAGGCTCTGGAGATGAGGCTGTACGGGACACGTGGGAAGCACAGGGGTACTTTCCACTCAGTAAGTGCTCTAAAAAACCAGCCTGTTGGGCTGGGGATATGGCTCAAGCGGTACCGCTCGCCTGGCATGCATGCAGCCCGGGTTCGATCCTCAGCACCACATACAAACAAAGATGTTGTGTCCGCCGAAAACTAAAAAATAAATATTGAAAAATTCTCTCTCTCTCTCTCTCTCAAAAAAAAAAAAAAAAAAAAATTTAAAAAAACCCAGCCTGTTTAAAAAAAAATAAACATCCCGAGGGAAAAGTTAATATTAAATCAAATATTGCTGGTACTTTGTTTTGACATTTTGAAATAAGGTCCCTGTGTTCACAGAGCCCCTAGGAGGTGGGTGTGGCTCTCTTGGGGGCAGGGTGTCCAACACAGTGGCCTGGTGTGGTTCTCAGCAATCCATGCACATAGGGCTCTTGCCTCCCCTAAAATCCATGGATCTTCTGAATTTCCACTTGAGCATTAGAACAGGGCGGAGTACACACGGGGTCCAGTGGGTGGAGCTGGAGTTGAGACTGGGACTATTCTAAGTGCCACCAACACACAGTGTAGGGCATAGGGCGAGGAGCCGGAGCATGGGCGGGGCCATCTTCCCTCTGCCCCCACTGCTGTTCTCCAAGTCACAAGTCTCCCCCCAGTGGCTGGGACAACCCTCCAGGACTTCCTGCATCCCCCAAACACACCCCGGAGGTGGTGGTGCGCCATGAACCAGTGGGAAAAGGGCAGGAAGAGAGGGTTGGGTGAGGATGAGCCTGCTGCCTGCTGCCTGCCTGGAAGGGCCCTGTGACACTTCCTGAGCGGCACAGACTTCCTGCTCAGTGTTCATCCCTGTGCCTGCCCTCTGGGATGGAGTCTGGGTGGACACTTCTTATTTCTAGATGGCCACTGCCCTGGAGGGATTCCAAGGATCCAAGGCTTGCTGAACTCCTACTGGGTGTCAGGGACCAGCCAAGGCCTCCGGCTTTTACCTCCTTACCACCCACTATGATCTGATCGTCTTACAGATGAGGAAACGGAGGTTCAGAAAGGCCAATGGACCAGGAAGGGCTGTTCACCCAGGGCAGCTCAGCAGGCAGACCTGAGTGTCTTTCTTTCTTTCGTTTTCTTTCTTTTTTTTTTTTTTTGAGAGAGGGGGGAGAGAGAGAGAGAGAGAGAGGGAATTTTTTAAATATTTATTTATTTTTTTAGTTATTGTTGGACACAACATTTTTGTATGTGGTGCTGAGGATCGAACCCGGGCCGCACACATGCTAGGCGAGCGCGCTACCGCTTGAGCCACATCCCCAGCCCTCAGACCTGAGTTTCTTTATCTGTACAATGGGACAAGAACACATTCACTTTGAAGCATTCTGTGGAAGGACAGACAGACATTCCTACCCTGCTGCAGTGCTGGGGAGGAATGGTGCACACCAAGGCGTCTTGATGCAGTCTTGACAGAGCCTCAAGGGGAGCAGGATCAGCATCTCCTCTGGGGTTGCTCTCCAGATTCTGGACGGTACCCATAGAGTCAGGGTTATGGTTAGGTGAATGCGGTAGGCACTGAGGGCCCTGTTAGCACTCACCTGTATTTGAAAAGTTTATATTTTGCTAGGTGCAATGGCATCTGTAATCCCAGCATCTCAGGAGGCTGAGGCAGGAGGATTGCAAGTTCAGGGCCAGCCTTAGCAATTTAGCAAGGCCTTAAACAACTTAGCGAGCCCCCGTCTCAGAATAAAAACTGAAGAGGGGTTAGGGGTGTAGTTCTGTGGTGAAGAACCCCTGGGTTCAATCCTTAGTACCAAAAACTATTTTTAAAAATAAAAATGAAAGTGTGTCGAAATGTATCATTTACCCTGGGCTGATGAATTTTCATAAAGTAACCACCCCAGGGTGTCCCTGCCCCCAGATTGAGAGACAGAACCTTACTAGAAACTGGAATCCCATGGTCACTGCCCACCCCTGCCCAGGGGTCCCTTGTCTGATTTATAGCTGTTTTCAGTTACAGTTCACCCATGGAAAGTGTATAATTCAATGGTTTTAGTACAATCACAGAGTTGTGCAACTATGGCTTGATCAAATTTGGAGCATTTGTCTTACCCAGTACTGCTGGCTCTCAGCCCCTATTCCCCACTCCCACCCC